GCTTCGGCTTTTCTCCGGCTTCCCTTTCTTGCCCTGTTTATGTGTGGCCGTGGCGGGAGGTTCTGACTGCCCATGCACAAGTAAAGGGGTCAAAAGAAGAGCCCCTACTTTTGTACACCGACATTATTCCACACATCGACCGCTATCCAGCATGCATCTAGTGTATTAAGTTCATGAAAAAACAGAGTAATGCAATAAGAATGATGACATGATGTAGACAAGATCCGTTTATCTATTGCAGCAGATATAGATCTCGTCTTTTTATCCTTAGTAGCAACGATACATACGTGTCGGTTCCCTTTCTGTCACTGGGATCAAGCACCATAAGATCGAACCCACTACGGGGCACCTCTTCCCATTGCAAGATAAATAGATCAAGTCGGCCAAACAAAACCCAAATATCGGAGAAGAAATACGAGGCTATAAGAGATCACACATATAAGAGATCAAAGAACTCAAATAACTTTCATGGATATAAAAAGATATAAGTGATCATAAACTCGAAGTTCATCAGATCCCAACAAACACACCGCAAAAAGGACTTACATCATATGGATCTCCAAGAGACCATTGTATTGATAATCAAGAGAGAGAGAGAGAGAGAGAGAGAGAGAGGAAGCCATCTAGCTACTAACTACGGACCCGAAGGTCTACAAATAACTACTCACGCATCATCAGAGAGGCACCAATGGAAGTGGCGTACCTCTCTGTGATGGTGTCTAGATCGGATCTCAGTGTTTTGGACTCTGCGACGGCTATATGAAAATTCCATCGACTCCCCTAGGGTTTCTAGAATATTGGGGTATTTATAGAGCAAAGAGTCGGTCCAGGGGGCACCCGAGGTGGGCACAACCCACCTGGGCGCGCTTGTGCCTCATGGCGCGCCCAGGTGGGTTGTCCCCTCCTCAGGACTCCCCCAGGTGCAACCAGGGCCCGTTGTGTTCCTTCTAGACCATAAAAAATCATCGTAAATTGGCGTGGTATTTGGACCTCTTCTGATATTGATTTCCTGCGATGTAAAAAACATGCAGAAAAATAACAACTAGCACTTGGCACTATGTCAATAGGTTAGTACCAAAAAATGATATAAAATGACTATATAATGATTATAAAACATCCAAGATTGATAATAAAACAGCACGAAATAGTAAAAAATTATAGATACGTTGGAGACGTATTAGTGGGACCGAAAATCCGTTAGTTTGCTTCTGTTGAAGATACACCGGGTTTTTGATAAATGTCGGACATCCAGTGAGCAGTATGTGACCGGGCGTTCGGTAAATGCCGGACATCCGGTGATAGAGGCAAAGGTGTCTCGTCTTTCGATGAGATGATGGATATCGCTTTGGTGGAAGTCGACTTTGACGATCCGACTACGAACATGCGAGGACGTCGCGCCTTAGCAATCGCTAAACCAACTCCGAGAGGTTATTGACCACGCCGAAGCACGATCAACCTGACCACGAGGGTCTGTTTCCTACGAGCAAACGAAGATCAAGCAAGAAACTGAGATTGCAATCTGGATATTGCGAATATAAGATGAAAGCTTTATTGATCAAGGTGGGGTTCTGTGACGCCTTTGTCTGGTCGTTGAACACAAACGAAGTACGCGAAGTTGCAGCTATGGTGAACTTTAATCTAAACAAAACCCAAAGTCTAAACGACGCCCTAAGGGTTGTATATATGGAGGGAGAGGGGGGAATTTCGTGGCCCTTGAGGGAGGGGTCCGAAACCAACCCTAACTCTTGTTTCCCCGCACATACAGACTCTAAAAATAGCCTATAATCAAGTATTTCGAAATTGCATGGGCCTGGCCCAATAATAAGGTGACGCAACACCTAGAATAGCCTCTGGACGAAAATTATGAAGTAGCATCTTGTATATTTCGTCCAAGACTTCATGCACTCATTATGGTGGCTTCCACGTCCTGAAATCATCACTTGTAACTCCGTTCTTGTTCCCCTTGCGCATGCCATCATCTCCATGCTTGTTCTTGCTCCAATGTTCATCCTTCTCAAAGCTAGGCCCTTCATTTGTAAGCAAAACAAATGTATCCAATTTAGGCAGCATCATATTCTCATGAACATTAGAATCATTACCAAGAAATGAAAGTACCTGGTAATTTAATTGGCGTGCGCGAGCTCTAGTAATTGGTCCAGTATGTATAGCAACAGGGGCTGTGGGTGTAACAATGGTATTGATGTCCTCATCATCCGGTGAGCCAGAGACCAAGTGGTTTTCCCGAAACATAAGAAGTAAGTCTCTTTGGGGAAACCTCCCACAGATGTACTGTGGGTGGATGTGTGACATGGTTGTATGATGTGAGTGGAAGGCTTTGAAAAACCATGGGTTTTGAGCAAATCTTTCACGAGTCCCGATGATCCCCTCTTAATAGTGCACGATCCCTATATAAGAACAAACCAAAAAATATCCTAAGTTATTTATCTTTGTTTCTTCATTCTTGAGCAATACAGAAATATGTGGTCCACAATCCACACACATGATTCCACGAAGACTAAAACATGTGATATACTTGGCACACATGATTAGTCCCCTATACGTATATTGTCATCAACATGAAAATATGATTAGTGGCATGATTGCACTTTCATTAACCCTCTATATACTGCTCCATGGCCCCCCTCCTCCTCACAAACAACAAAACCAGTCTCATTAGACCGCTTTAAGTTTGTGTGCAGAGAAGACATGGCTCATTCATGGGATGAGAGGCAAACCTCTTCCTAGGAGGAGGAGGACCATGGATTTGAAGGCCACGATTCACCTCGTGGCTCGAAGAGGGAGAGGGCACGTCACATTGAGAGCGGCGATTCTCCATCAAAGGAGGAACCAGATGAGATGACCTTCGAAGATGAAGAGGAGGAGGAAGAAGAGGCGAACACAACACTGGAAGCGATGCCCATCGAACCGGTAAAACTTATTAGCACCGGTGATCACCTCCACTTTGTCAAGAACACTCCAACCACTGTGGCTAGTTGTGGCTTTCGCTGTTGCACTATCCATGATCCGTTGGAGGATTCACAATAGGAGAAGCCCAAGGCACACAAGAAAGTTCATCGTGGGAGCTAGCATTATCGTCAGCCCCCGAGGAAGAAGTTTCTTCCCTGAGGAAGAAGTTTCTTGCGGATCCCAACTACGCCCTGATCCTCATCCACGCTCGATCCAAGATCACATCCGCCAATTGAGAAACATGCTAATAGTTAAAAAAATTCAACGTGACCTTTGTTTTTTCTCATTTCGAGGGGTCACCATCCTTTGTTTTCACCTAACATAGTGTTGGATTTAAAATAAACCCGACATAAATTTTAGTGTCCTTAATTGTTTTGGTGATAGCCACCAAAATACATAAGGGGCTCTAGAAGCACCTTTTACTTATGCCAATATAAATAGCAGGTAGGATCGTGACACCTATTTGGCAACGCCCTTTGACTTGTATTCAGGCACTTAACGCCTTACATGTGAAACAAGCGCGACACACCAGCTAGCGCAAAATGGTCAAACTTGCGCTAGCACCATCAAGAAGCCACCTTTGTCACAGCCGCCATGCTTGCGCACCAAGCCACATGACAGCGTTTGGAGTCACCACTACGCCTCGACCGTCGGGGACTGCCCGATAGTCCCTAGAGTGTGGAACTATTTAGCAGCCATTTGCAACGATCAAGACATGACACTGTAGCTCATTGTGTGGAGCGGCCACCGGCGGCCTCACGCGCCACGCTTTGCTCGATGAACGGAGGTAGTGAAGCTAGAATTAAGGAGAGAAAGATAAGCCATGGGCATCTTTTTTTTTCTTTTGCGTAGTAATATGTGTCTCATTAATAGAATAAAGATTCACTTACAAGCCATGTAAACATCGACATCACATGACCGAAAAGATAGGACAATCCTATGCAAAAACCAGCGTTTGTCTCTCTTCACTAAGAAAGAGAAGACATATCACCTCTCCACTCGAGCTCGACGCGGCTCCATCGCTGATGAGCAGCTTTACGGACCTCCAAAATAGTTTGTCTGAAGCAAAACCATTGCCGTTGAAAGAATCAGACCGGGAAAACGGTCCTTGGACACGCCATCGAACTTCAAAACTGACACCCCCGCACGACTACGACATTGGAGGAGGAAACCCAAACTGTCAGCCTCCAACCACAAACCCAACACAAGATGCACCATCTTCCAGTTGTCACTTGCGTAGACAACCGTCTGCGTACTCCTGGATGACAAAACCTTCCTGCTCCACCATGACGTCGGAGACCACGCCGTAGCAACGGGGACAAAGTAGAAGGAGAGACACACCTTATGAAGTCGCCGCCTCCGCCTCGCCGACACCATCCATGAACCCTAACGATGCCGATCTAAAGGATCGGCAAACACACGATGCCATCAACTCTGAGACGCCACCACGAAGGGCCCCGCTGATGTGAGAGTGAAGTTGAGGCAGATTTATTCGTCCGGGCGCCGCTCCCACAACCCCAACGGCACATCACGACCTATAAATCCAAACTCTAACTGCAAAACGAAGGAATGGGGTTCTCCTCCCTCTTGCCGCCGGAGCAGCAGTCGGGAAAGGGGGCCAACGCCCTCGCTGGTGGAGAAGGCAATCAAGGAGATTGCCTCCTAGCCGCCCGGCTCCCGGCGGCGGGCCAGGGTAGGAAAACGAATCTAAGCCATGGGCATAGACTTATAGTGTTTTCATGTAACGAGGAAAACCGGACGGCAAATTCGTACATTTTGGGGGACCAAACGCGAAATGCCTCCTCCCCGCAGACAGGAAAGGCAGAAAAGCGCGAGCAATACAGGGGCGCAGGGGCCGCCTGGAACTCGCTCTCCACATCATTTGGCTGCAGCACCTCACCTCGTCTCTACCCCTCGATCTCCGTCGCCGTCTTCCCCCATTCTCCCAGGACCGACCATCCTCCCCCTCCCGATCTACCCCGCCGACGCCGCCGAGATCCTCGTTCCATGGTGTCGTGACGGCGTCGGCGCTCATGGACCCCAAGTCCCCCGACGACCGCCCGGAGGCGGCGGCGTCACAGCCGCTAGAGTGGCGGTTCGCGCAGGTCTTCGGCGAGCGCGGTGCCGGCGAGGACGTGCAGGAAGGTAAGGCGGCCGCAGCTCCCGTGCTTTTGCTACTCGTGTCGCGCCTCGCGAGATCTACCCAGTTTCGCTGGTGGGGGTTTGACGCCGCCGCGACCCCTGAAGGCCGCGCATTTCACTCAAGGGATGCGGGGATCTCCTAGATTCGGGCGGTGGCGCCCTTTGCGAATCGAGGCGGAGGCTTCGCCGTGATTTGGGTTCCAAGCGCTTGGTTCCTGGCGTTGTACTTCTTGCATCGTGTTTCTCGGCGATCTAGTACGGTTCGTGGCTAAATGTCCAACAATTTATTACGGGCGGTCGGGTGCTTAGCTAAACCTCGTCACGTGCGGGAATCAGTCAGTTCATGCAGTAGGCCTTGCTGCTTGGATGTGCCTCTCGTAGGATTGATTCTTGTCACAGGGAGGCTTTGGACGTGGTAGCTGGTACTGTTGTTAGGCATCGTTGCCTCCATGCCGGTGAGTCGTGTTGACGGTAGGAAACTAAGAATGCTCAGCATGGCATGTGGGTGGCGTGTTCAAAGTCCAAAACTTTTTGTGTGATGAACTGATGACATATGGGGATCGTGGGTGCGCTATTGTTTTCTAGGCCTTGGGATGGCTGGACAATAAATTTACGAGCTTTGGCAGATGAACTGGGCACAAACGATGTGTACTGGGTGCTTCTGAGCTGTAAGTGAGTGTGGTGTCCTTTTGCGACTAAGCCATACCATAATATCTTCAGCATTTGGCATCGGGGGTATGCAGGGTTCATAAGCACATCTAGTTTGTACAGCATAAAGAATGTTACAGCTTCTACCTTTTTATGCCTTTTGCGGAACGGCGAGGTATACCTTTTTATGCTTTTGTAACATATCATACATAGGCCCTATGTTGCCATTTGTAGGGTTGTTAAAAATTGACCATAGTGGTATCCTAAATTGTACCTATATTTTCAAGATATAGACATGACACACAATTTCAGTCTTTGACATGCATTCCGTTGAGGTCAATGTTGCAGTCTGTTCAGTTCAGTTTGGTACATCTTGCTCTAATTTTAGCCATAGTTTTCTATGAGCAGCCTTACATCACTATCAGAACCTAAGGCCGCGCTTGGTTCGTCGTTTCTCCACCGAATTCATTTTACACCTGTAACCACTTCCATCCGTATTAAACTGGGTACCCGTAAAAACCGGACGGAAAGAAAATGTGCGTGGAAGGTGTGTATTATTTTTCCAGGTGGAGGCACAAAACGGCCCGTTTTTTCTGGATCTAAACAACCAGCCAAGCGGGTGTTTCCGAGAAGCACGCATTCATTTTCCGCCTGGATGTTTTACACCCGTAATCATCCATGAAACGATGAACCAAGCGTGGCCCAAGGATCTGTAGACAACCCATTTGTACGTAATATGATGCAGTTCTGATATTCTGGTTAATTGTTACCAAAACAAACTCTCGCTCCACTTTTCAACGAATTGCTACCACAAAACTAGAAGTCCTACAGAATCCAGCCCTGTTGATTTAACCCAGTTACCTGGTACATGTTTAACATGTTTCCAATACCTGCTATTAAGGAGCTCTTTTTGTAGAATACACTCCAATTCTTTGCAGTGATGGAGAAATTGATCACTTGCCAAAAGATAACCAAGCATAATTTTTTCCCAGCAGCATCCATGATGTTTGGTTCCTTTATAGGAATGTTCCAAACACATAAACTTGTTTGAATGCTTAGTCCTAGATTTACTATCTGTGTATAGAGTTAACATACAATTGGTAATTCATCTCTTCAATCTGAATTGTCTGATACGTGTGGTTCCATTCATTTTACTTGACGGTTGTGTCAATTGACTTTAATATGATTTTCTTTGTTTACTGTAGTCTGCCAAGTCATATTTATATTTTACTAAATTTGTTGTTTCAGTTGACATCATCTCTGCAATCGAGTTTGATAAATCTGGTGATCATCTTGCCACTGGAGATAGAGGTGGACGTGTAGTTTTGTTTGAAAGAACTGATGCCAGGGTTGTAAGTACCACACCATCCAAGTGTTGTTGCTTTCTTGCTTAAATCTATTGTGCCCATAAAATAAAGCTATATATGCAGAATGCCAGTCGGACAGAGCTTGAGAGACAAGATTATTTGATGCCCAGGCATCCTGAGTTCCGCTATAAAACTGAATTTCAGAGTCATGAACCTGAGGTATGCTACTTTGGGTCCTTGTCCGTAAATTACCATATTCTATATATCTCCAGCATCTTAGGTCCCATGCAGTTTGGAGTTTTTTTTACAAGGAAATATCCAATCTGACTGCATGTTTTCATTTTGTGTTAATCTCTGGAGATCTTATGCTCCAGAGAGACTGGAGTTAAAAGTTTGTGACAGAACTTGGATGAAATCATACCATGTCTGCGTAATGTGTTTCCCCCACTTTGTACGGTAGACATAGGAAATTGTCATCATACACATAAAGCTGCTGCCTTGTGACCATGAGGTCATGGGTTCAAGTCCTGGAAACAGCCTCTTACAGAAATGTAGGGAAAGGCTGCGTACTATAGACCCAAAGTGGTCGGACCCTTCCCTGGACCCTGCGCAAGCGGGAGCTACATGCACCAGGTTGCCCTTTACACATTTAGAATGTGTGCAATCCTTTTATGTTTTGATGACCAATACACATTTTGTAAAGTATTTCTTAGTTTTAGTTGCAGGATAAGCTTGCCAGCAGAAAAGCAACATAAATCATTTATACTGCTATTGCATGTTATCTTCTAAATGAAACTATTGCTTAGTAATATCCTTGCAATGTGATTTTTCCTGATCTTATATGTAATGTATGTAGTTTGATTACCTAAAGAGTTTGGAAATAGAGGAGAAAATCAACAAGATCAAGTGGGGCCAAACAGCCAACAATGCACTCTTTATCTTGTCTACAAATGACAAAACAATCAAGTACTGGAAGGTATGTATAAATCAAGTACTGATCATCAGAAGCTTGCTCGATTTATTTCTTCTGGTCATGAGATTTTTCCTTCACTAGTGTTTCTTTAGCCATGTCATGCTTGGAAGATGTATCCATTGCTTAATGTACTCCCTCCGTCCCATAATATAAGATGTTATTACATCGAATATGTGAGTATATTGGATGTAATAAAATGTTTTATATTATGGGACGGAGGGAGTACCAAATACTGTTGGGCACCTTAGGGTGGATTTACAGTAAGTCTATTTTTTCCATTTATGCTGGCTTGTTTGATCAAGATAAATATTGTTTTGTACTTATGATGGTTTACAAATACAAATGAAGTATTCAATTTCTTCGTTACATTGTTAATAATTCTCAATCCCATCGCTTGCCTTTTTGTATAGAGAGTTCATTGGTACTTGTCGAACTAGTAACCGTGTACATGCAATGCACGTTAATATTAGGCAATGTTTTTTCTGAGTGGATATTAGGCAATATATTAATTGCCTCGGACACTAATATCGGCAAGATCTTAATTGTACGTTGATATTAGGTACTCCCTCCGTTCCTAAATATAAGACCTTTTAGAGATTTCACTATAGACTACATACGGAGCAAAATGAGTGAATCTATACTCTAAAATATGTCTATATACATCCGTATGTAGTTTGTAGTATAGAATCTCTAAAAGGTCTTATATTTAGGAGCCGAGGGAGTAGTATATAATCAATTAGTTGATGCTGATGTTCATATTAAGTATACTATTAATCAGGGGAGGGTGCTAAACACATTTAGTGCTAAACACCAGGTCAACATAGACCATTGGATAGACGTGGTTGACCGTGTGAGATATGTTGGATCTCTGCAACTCACTCCTTTTATATTGGTATAGATGTATGGGCAATCAATGTGAAATGTATTACTGCTTTGTTATATCTGCAGCTGCAAGACAAGAAACTGAATACAATTGAAGTATTCAATTTCTTCTTTACAATGTTAATAATTGTCAATACCATTGCTTGCTTTTTAATGTAAAAAATTCATTTGCACTTGCCAAATACAAGGGCAGTCTGTGTGATATTGGTGCCTTACTGCTTTGTCATATATCTGCAGGTGCTAGACAAAAAAGTGAAACGAATTTCAGTAATGAATTTGGATACTTCCCAGGGTGCAGACAATGGGACAACTTCTAGTTCGAGTACCAGTAGCTCTAGAGGTCTTCCTAATGGAGGATCCTCAGAAAAGTCATACAATTGTGCAAACAACGATCTGCCATTCCCTCCTGGGGGATATGCATCATTGCGTTTGCCTGTGGTAGTTGTACTTAACCCACTTTATCCAACATCTGTAGTTCTGTACATTCATCAGTAATGCATGCATTTAAAATAAGCACAGTATCTTTTTTCATGATAAGACACTTGTAAGCTTTCTGGAAATTGTATGTAAGTTGCAATTAACAAGTCTGATAAGTTTCATTTACTTCGTTTGCAGGTTACAGGCCAAGAGTTAAACCCTGTTGCTAGATGCCGGCGTGTATATGCACACGCCCATGATTACCATATCAATTCCATTTCAAATAATAGGTTAGCTTCCTGTTGAGTTATACTCCCTCTGGAAGTAGATATCTGGTCAAATTGTAAGATTTTGTAATCTGTGTACTTGTTTTACTTGCTCTTGACTTTACATTGCTTACATATCCCATTCACTTGGTCTTATTATTTTGTTACCCTTGCTATTTTCTGTCTCTTTTCTCTGTTTAATGTGGAAACTACTCCCACCGTATTTCTCATATTCTTACCCAATTTAGAAAGCTGCCTAAGCTTTCTCTGTGTTATCGAGCGAGAGTTTATTGTTCTCATGACTATTGTGTACACACAAATTATACTTTTTCATGGTGCTTTAACCTTGCTTTATCATTTTTTCTTATGAGCTGACCACCTGCCTCTTAGTATTGTTGCACAGTTTCATTTCATAGATGTTCACCATGTTGTGCTTTAGTTTTCCTTCTGAAATTCTGGCTAGTATATTGTGTCATGTTTTTTCTTCATCTCCATGTCCTCTATGGGTTGTTCTGTCATCTTACAAAGTAATCCATACTTGGCCATTAGGGCATGACTATTGATGCCTGGGTCGCTTGTTATTTTTACATTATTTACATCATGTAGGTAATGTTGTCGCATACTAGGCCTAGGGAGAGGCTCTCACCCCTGGAGGCAAGATATAACTATTCTTCTAATTCTTGCTCGCTTTATTCCTTGTAGGGCTTCCTCTTTTTGTAGAGGCCTAACAATCTAATCTAAGTAACAAATCATGGATATTATCTCTAATTGGCTTACGGCCCAAGCTAAAAGACATATTCCTAATTTAAAGATAAATTTCCGAACTGAGAGATCATGGGGACCCTTTCTCTAACTTGGTGCTCGGCAGGCCATGTACGACGTACATAACAAATGTACACTCTGTCTTGTTGTCAAATATTAGTTTAACAGAGCAGCAGAAGCAAGATATAAGTTATGTTTTGCCTAAGAGATCACTATTTAACCTTTCTGTTTCGTGCATTTCTTGAGAAATTGTGATATGGGCTACTACCTCCATCCTGGTTCATTGGCCCCCTTTGTAATTTGTGTCCAATTTTGACCAAAGATATAACTAACAAAATGTTAATGCATGTCAACAAAAATTATATCGTTGGATTCGTATTTGAACATAGTTTTCAGTGATATAATTTTTGGTGACATGCATGAACATTTTGGTAGTTGAATCTATGGTCAAAATTTGACATGAAATACGTAGTAAAAGGTTATCATGATTTAACCCTAAGAAACATGCCATGTGTATAGCATATAAACTTGTCCTGTGGCAACACTGGCCATCACTTTGGGTAATGTGTACTATCTGGCATGTAATCCAGAAGTCTGAGAAGTTGATACTGCTAGATATATGATATATAAGCTGTTTATACCTGTTTGTATTACTCCTTATTATGAAGGGTTTCCTTCAGATGTGCCATGTGCATGTACTCTATGTATTGGTCTAGAGTCTACAGACACAACCAAAGGATGTTCATATGGTAAATTAATGTTATGGTTAACAGGGGGCCACTATATTAAATTCCATTTGTCCTTTGGATGACTTGATATGATTGGCTTTCTGCAACTAATATATTTATATGCCTCGGCTGATTTATGAATGACACAATGCACGTGCATTATGCTGATATCTTGTTCTCATGTTGTTTTGCTTCAAGTGATGGCGAGACATTCATATCAGCAGATGATCTGCGAATTAATCTGTGGAATTTGGAAATCAACAGCCAGAGCTTTAACATTGTCGATGTGAAGCCTGCAAACATGGAGGATCTAACTGGTAAGCTTGCCAGTCCAATAAAAACTATTTGGTTAATTTATATGTTAAGCGTGCAGTGTTATCTAACTGGTGGACGAAATATAGTTCTCTATTAGCAGGGTAAGATGCGTAAACATAAACATGATCAGGTAATTTTACCTTTTGTTTAAATCATAGACCTTTGCAAGCGTTGCCGCGCTGCAGGAGTTATCTTCTATGCAGGGCCTCCAAGTTTTCTTCGTAGTCCCTTTTCTTTTCCGAAAAGATAAATCATCTGTATAGCCTATTGTTGGAACTTGGATCAACAAGCATGCATCAGTATATACCAATTAGATCTTTGAGTGGGGTCAAAATTTCTCTGATGGATTGTGGATAAGGAAGATGGGATGAAAGGCAATTCCTATACTTTCACCTACCAAATTCTTGATGATTTGTCACTCTGTAGCTATGTTGGCATCCTAGCTAGCAATTCCTTGTGATTAATAGTCTGCAGCTTTCATGTGATTTCTAGAAATACAGATTCATAGTAGTTCTTGCTGTATAGGAAACCATAAGTAAATAAAAAACAAAGTAGTCTGCATCAGCTGTTGCTGCTCAGATACAAAGCTATCTTATCTTGAATTTGTGATTTCACAATATTTTCTCTTAGTTCATAGTGCAATACCTGTGGTCTTTGTTGTTAATTTTAAATGACCGTATGTGATTATTTTTTAATGTCTGATATGATTCCTGTCACGTCAGTTATTTACTCCTCTTCCTTTTCCCTGTGGTAATATGCATCACTTGTTATATCTGTGAAATTTCAGAGGTGATTACATGTGCGGAGTTCCATCCAACTCACTGTAATACACTAGCCTATAGTAGCTCAAAGGGCGCTATCAGGCTTATTGACCTGCGGCAATCAGCACTGTGTGACAACCATTCTAAGCTGTTAGTAATCACCCCTTGCACTTCCTGATGTAACAGTTATCCTTGTTTAGAGGGCAGTTCTCAATAGAGTTTGAAGGATTACAAACATTTCAAGTTCAATTATTCAATTAAACTTTGCACAAACTATCTTCTAATTCACTGGTACCATCTTGTACAGATTTGAGGAGCATGAAGCACCTGGATCCAAATCCTTTTTTACGGAGATAATTGCATCCGTTTCAGATATAAAGTTTGCAAGGGATGGACAGCATATTCTTAGTCGTGATTATATGACTCTCAAGGTTTGTAACTGATCTATCTATGATCTACTCATTTAGTCTTTCTGGCCTTTTGCTCTCTTGTGTAAATTGAATGGAAAAGTTGTCTGAAGAAATGAAACTATTGATTTGATACTAATATCTTGTCGACGACTCGACGTGTTCATCTTGCACTGGTCTTTGAGGCATACTGCTTTCATTTTTTATGTTATGGATAAGCTGCATTAAATTGATGGTTGTCTGCATCAACTATTATTCCGTTTCTAAGTTCCTTTAAAATACAGGGTTAGAACATTTTCTTTGGACTTTGCAGAAGTGAACTATAGCTTATTGTAAATTTTGATTTTCACTCTGACTGGCTAGTAACATGGAAATCTGAAATCTTCTTGGTAAATTTTGTATGTCATGCTGTTGATTCCAACATTTCTGCATGATATATTGAAGTAAATGAGTATTGGAATTTCTGGGTTGTGGATCCTTTTGTTTTCAGTTTGCTTTCTTAGATAAAAAGTGATTTGCTGCTTGTATCTTTAGTTCAATATCCTTTGTCTTTCTTCAGTTATGGGATCTCAGCATGGATTCAGGCCCAGTAGCAACTTTCCAAGTTCATGAACATTTAAGGCCTAAGGTGAATTTTTTCATCCGAATGATAGCAAAGTAGCAACGCCAAGACCTTTTATGTTCTAATGCTGTGTTGATCTCATCTGTTGTAGCTTTGCGATCTTTATGAAAACGATTCAATCTTTGACAAATTTGAATGTTGTTTGAGTGGGGATGGTCATCGTCTTGCTACTGGCTCTTACAGGTATTATCATTATGAGCTATAAAAGGTGTTAGCCATTGTTGAATTTGTAACTCATGTATGCTAACTTGTACTCTTCTTGTTGTGGTCTATTGTAGTAATTTATTTCGTGTTTTTGGTTGTACTCCTGGAAATACTGAGGCAACCACTTTAGAAGCAAGCAGAAACCCTATGAGGTATGCCATATCTTCTGATTTTTTTTATGTTTATATTGTTATGAATGAGTTATACTCTACTTGGACATGGGCTAGTCCAATTTGTGCATAATTCATAAGCACCTTGCATCCGACATAATTTTATGCTTCACTTAGTTCAATAATATGCCACTGCCTATTCTCCTGCTATTCTGGAGCTACCTAGATTTCTTCTATATGTTTAATTTATGATTCGTATGCCAAGTTGGTGGGATTACCAAATACTCGACATAGGTGAACAGTGACCAATTAGTAGTAGGTATAGACACAAGAATGTTGACCGACCCACACTCCTAACATAAATTATGTTTTCTAAACCTGGCTAATTATTTCTTGGTTTGTTGGGATTGAAAACCGTATAGGCGTCAGGTTGCTAATCCAACAAGGCCTACAAGAACGCTGACCTCTTTGACTCGTGCTGTGAGGAGAGGTAAGTGTCTCTTGTATCATAGATGTGATTATTTCTGTCACATAGGTAGAGTAGATTGACCTACTTCTCCTTGTGCAAATGTTGCACAGGGGGTGAAAATGCAGGAGCCGATGGCAATGGGAATTCTAATGACTTCTCAACAAAGTTACTCCATCTTGCGTGGCACCCAACTGAGAATTCCATTGCGTGTGCTGCTGGAAATAGCTTGTACATGTATTATGCATAGGGAATGTGCTAGAGAAGATTCACTGTTTTTGGTTTGTTCAACGTGAAAGCTTGGGCCTTGCACATGCAACCAGGAAAATGGTCGTCAATTCCGTGATTGGGGGTCGAAAGAGGCGGTTGGCACCCACGAGATCAACTCCAAGCATAGCAGACTATTTCCTTGTGATTCTTTAGTAAATGTGAAACACAAATTCTAATCGCACCAAAGTTTTTGGGTCCCAAGATATGATTGTAGCTGCATGTGTAGCCAAAACACCAGCAGTTGGAGGACAAAGCAGAAGATAGCAAGGCTGATTCTAATTTCACTTGGTCACAGGAAATATGTGCTTACGGTGGACGCAAGAAATTTGCTTGTCTTGAAATGTAATGTAATGCCGCGTAGCCAGGGTTAACCATCTGCTGTCACCAACGGTGAAACATGTGTGGACATAAAAAGTATTGACTTGTAGTTCTCCCCCCTTGTTCTATTTGTTGGTGGTCCAGACTTGCAATAAGTTTGCAACTCGTGCTGCATGTGATGGGCTGTGACCTAAGTTGTATATGCTACATTTTGCCATGCAAAACTCACAACTAATGATATGAATTCTTGAGTATTCATGTCTGGCTTGTATGCATTTTTGCAATCCTCTTGAGATTATGCATCAATTATATATATTACAGTGTAACGCCAGAAGAATATTTGATGCATGATTTGGGGATTTTAGTGGTGGTGTTCAACTGGATGCGCTTGGCGATGTTGAGCCAAATGGGCGTATCGATGCCGCTGGTCCAGCCGAGTGATCCTTTGCTATTTTGGAACGGAGGGAGTATCTGCGTACGGGTTGGTTTGTCAGGCCCCAATTGAGATGCAAGCGAATATCTAGAGCGATTTGGGGCAAAAAGGGGATCGTAGATCCAGAAGTTTATATTTCTACTAAAAGATATATGTTTATGGAGTATTACTTCTGCTCGAAGGCAAGAATTTACAGAATAAACGATACCCTCTCTCAGCCACAGCCAGGTTTCTTTATAGGCTAAGGGGACAGCTACTGCAGCGACAACAGAAAGAAACGGTACAGCTGTAAAGACGATCGGACGGTCCTTGTAAAGCCTATCCTTACTGAGTGATGATGGCCATCCGATTGGCTCGAAGTGTTACTTGCCGGATGGCTACAGTTAACTGAACTTGATCTTCTTTATAGGCTAAGGGGACAGCTACTGCAGCGACAACGAAAAGAAACGGTACAGCTGTAAAGACGATCGGACGGTCCTGGTAAAGCCTATCCTTGCCGAGTGATGATGGCCGTCCGATTGGCTTGAAGCGTTACTTGCCGGATGGCTACAGTTAACTGAACTTGATCGTAAGTGGCTGATACCTGACATTGCCCCCCTCTGAGAACCGGCGTGTCCTCACGGCGTAACCTCCCTGTTCTTCCATGCTTGTTGATGAGGACATCAATACCATTGTTACAGCCACAGCCCCTGCTGCTATACATACTGGACCAATTACTAGAGCTCGCGCACGTCAACTAAATTACCAGGTACTTACGTTTCTTGGTAATGATTCTAATGTTCATGAGAATATGATGCTGCCTAAATTGGATACATTTGTTTTGCTTACCAATGAAGGGCCTAGCTTGGAGAAGGATGAACATTGGAGCAAGAGAAAGCATGGAGATGATGGCATGCGCGAGGGGAACAAGAACGGAGTTACGAGTGATGATTTCAGGTCTTTGAAGCCACCATAACGAGTGCATGAAGCCTTGGACGAAATATACAAGATGCCACTTCATAAATTTCGTCCAGAGGCTATTATAGGTGCTGCGTCACCTTTTTATTGGGCCAGGCCCATGTAATTTCAAAATACATTAGTATAGGCTATTTTTAGAGTCTGTATGTGTGGGGAAACAAGAGATAGGGTTGATTTCGGACCCCTCCACCAAGGGCCACGAAATTCCCCCTCTCTTCCTCCATATATACAGCCCTTAGGGCACCGTTTAGACTTTGGGTTTTGTTTAGATTAAAGTTCGCCATAGCTGCAACTTCGCGTACTTCGTTTGTGTTCAATGACCAGACAAAGGCGTCACAGAACCCCACCTTGATCAATAAAGCTTTCATCTTATATTCGCAATATCCAGATTGCAATCTCAGTTTCTTGCTTGTACTTCGTTTGCTCGCAGGAAACAGACCCTCGTGGTCAGGTTGATCGTGCTCCGGCATGGTCAATAACCTCTCGGAGTTGGTTTAGCGATTGCTAAGGCGCGACGTCCTCGCACGTTCGTAGTCGGATCGTCAAAGTCGACTTCCACCAAAGCGATATCCATCATCTCATCGAAAGACGGGACACCTTAGCCCATATCACTTGTGTAGTTTCCTTGAAGAATGCTGGGAAGGCATGCTTTATGAACTCTGCATCTTCCCATGTAGCATCTTCAAGTGCCAAATTTTCCCACTGGATGAGCCATTGTACTACGGGTAAATTGTGGCGAGGGATTTGTCTGACTTCCAGGACGAGTGTTGGTTCTGTTTTGATCGTACCATCTTCATTGACCATAGGGAGATGTGGACTGGGAATTGACCGCGCGCCAATGTGTTTCTTCAACTGGCTAACATGAAACATAGGGTGTATCTTAATTGTGGTAGGAAATTGGAGTTTGTATGCAGACTTACCAATCCTTTGCACCACTGAAAAGGGGCCATAGTACTTGTTCTGGAGTTTTAAGGCTCATCTAAATCCAAAAGCTACAAGCCTGTAAGGTGCCATTTTCAAATACACCAGATCACCCTCTTGAAACTGTCTCTCATTCCTCTTGGTATTTGCATACTTTTTCATCCTGTTTCGAGCTTGCAGTAGATTGTGTTTCAGTTGGTCCAACATTTGTTGTTTGGCAGTTAGGAATTCCTGTGCTTCCAAATCAGCAGGGCCAGGAATAGCTAACTCTAAAATCAATGGAGGAGGGAACCCATACAGTGCTTGGAATGGTGACATCTTCAGAGCTGTGTGATAGGTGGTGTTATACCAGTATTCAGCCAAAGGAAGCCAGGACAACCACTTTGTAGGTTGCATAGTTGTCATGCACCCGAGATAAGTTTCAAGACATTGATTCACCCTCTCCGTTTGCCCGCCCGTTTGTGGATGGTATGCAGAGCTGAATCTTAGTTCCACTTTCAGTGCTGCAAATATTTCTCTCCATAGTTGACTTGTAAAAATTCTATCTGTGTCAGAGATGATCAACTTAGGAGGCCCATGTAACTTGATGATGTTGTTCACAAATGTTTGAGCAACACTGTGTACAGAATAGGGATGTGATAATGGCAAGAAGTGAGAATACTTAGTAAATCTGTCCACAACTACTAGTATCACTTCCTTGCCCTGAGAACTAGGGAGGCCTTCTATGAAATCCATGGATATATGCTGCCATGCCATATCTGCTACTGGAAGAGGGTCCAACAAGCCAGGTTGAAGACAATTTTCATGCTTTGCTCTTTGACAAACAGGACAAGAAGCAATGTAAGTTTCTATCTGACTTTTCATTCCTGGCCAATAGAAGATACCTTTGATTCTTTGGTATGTAGCTCTCATTCCTGAGTGGCCCCCAACAGGAGAACTGTGCAGAGCAGTTATTAACCGTTCCTTTAATTTCTTATCATTTCCCACCACAATTTTCCCTTTGTATCTTATAATACCTGCATGTATTGTGTGGTCTGAATTAGTACCAGGTTTCTACAATAATAGTTTCTCTTGGAGTGCTTTAGTGACAATGTCCCCCTTGTAACTGTTCAACAAATCTTCAGCCCAAAGTGGTGCTGCTGTGGAAATTGTGAAACACTTAGGCCACATTCTAGAAAGTGCATCTGCCACTCTGTTGCTGCTACCCTTCTTATACTAGATTGTGAAATTAAACTCCAACAGTTTCATCACGAGCTTATGCTGCACACCCTCAGTAATTTTCTGGTCTGTAATGAACTTGAGGGACTGCTGGTCAGTTTTAATGATCACACTATTGCCCAGCAAATAATGTCTCCATTTCTTTAGAGCTTCCAAAATGGCCAAAGCTTCCTTCTCATATGTTGATAGAGCTGCATTTCTAGGACACAGAGCAGAGCTATAATATGCAATAGGTCTCCCTTGCCGCATCAAAACAGCTCCTATTCCATGTCCACAAGCATATGTTTTCAACAGGAAGGGCTGTTTGAAGTCTGGTAATGCTAGTACAGGTGCAGTCATGAGTGCCTTCTGTATTGAGTGAAATGCCACTTCTTGTTCTTCAGACCACTGGAACTGTCCCTTTTTCAAGCTGTTGTGCAGAGGTTTGCAGATGATTCCATAATTCTTAATGAACCTTCTGCAATAACCTGCTAATCCCAAGAAACTTCTAAGTTTAGTAGCATCAGTGGGTGTAGGCCATTGAGCAATTGCAGTAATCTTTTCAGGGTCAGTAGCAACCCCTTCAGTAGATACCACATGTCCCAAATACTGAACTTAATTTACAACAAAGACAAATTTAGACATTTTAGCATACAGTTCATTCTCCCTTAACACCTTGAGCACTTGTTCCAAGTGATCTATATGTTCTTTTAGGGAACGGCTGAACACTAGAATATCATCAAAGAACACCAAGACAAATTTTCTATTGTAATGAGCAAATAGAAAATTCATGAGAGCTTGAAAAGTGCCAGGGGCATTAGATAGTCCAAAGGGCATCACCAGATATTCAAAGTGCCCCAGAAATGTTCTAAATGCAGTCTTGTGGATATCTTCAGGACTCATCTTGATCTGATGATAGCCTGACCTTAGATCTAACTTAGAAAATACCTTTGCCAATGCAGTTCATCTAACAAGTCTTCTATGACTGGGATTGGAAACTTGTTTTTGATAGTGATTGCATTCAGTTTTCTGAAATCAGTACACAACTGTTGGGGAACGTAGTAATTTCAAAAAAAAAAATCTACGCACACGCAAGATCATGGTGATGGCATAGCAACGAGAGGGGAGAGTATTGTCCACGTACCCTCGTAGAC